GGGTTCTTGCCTGTGGTGGGTACCCCAGAAAATTCCACTAGGCCTGTGGGGGTGAGTAATGGGAAGAAGGAGGCATGTACCTCTGGTTGGACTGGACCCTGAGGGCCAGGACTTCCAACACTGTGGCCCACTCCGTAGGGATGAGGTCCGGCCCACAGTCCAGAGACCCCTCCTGAAACCTCCAGGGCTTTGGCAGACCCCGGGCGGCAGTCTTGGGCTGGCTCTCCTGTCCGGGCCCTGGCACAGCCTCCCTCATGCCTGCCCCAGGGGTGGGCACGTGTGCTCATTTCCCTTCTTGATAGCAATCAGCCCAGCCCGCAAAGAAGGGTTCCCCTCAGCTGGGCTGGGTTGACGCAAAGGCCTGGGATGGAATCACCATCTTACAGGGGCCAGGTCTCTCCCCAAGGGCTGGCAGGACTGTGGCCTCTGGAGGAGGGAAGTGGTGCCTATGATTTTGCAAGAAGCTCCTACAGAGTCAAGGAAAACCTCGAAGGAGACCCCCAGGATGACCCAGGCTATGCCTCGGTCCACCAAGGGCTCACGGAAGCGCTGTGGTGGCCAGCTACACAGATATCCTTGGCAGCCCCTTCTGAATGGGGAACTTCAGAACATGTTCTGAACATGTTCTGAATTTAGGAACATGTCCCTCCATTCCTCCCTGGTTCATCGAACAGCAGCAGGTGTTGGGCTGCAGTCACTGGGCCTCTCTGGGGGGCACACCCTCCTGCCTCCTTTGCTTTGCCCGGCTGGACTCCCTGCCCATCCCAGCCTCCTCCCATGACCCCACACCCTGCCTCTGGGGCCTTCCATTTCATATTCTTGCCTACCAAGGCCCTGGGTCCTCCCAACCTCCTCACCCTCCGACCCCAGGGTGCCAGCCCCTCAAGATCACCTCCAGGTAGTCACAGCTCAAGCCACCAAATCTCACCACTCTCATTGCCTCTAGCCCCACCTCAGGGGCTGACTTTACTTCTATTTCACAGAGAACACAGAAGCCATTGTCCCCTCCCACCACAAACCTGTGGACCAACCTGACCCACCCCACCGCACCTTCCCCACCAGATAGGCTGGGCCACCCACGCCGCCTTTCCCTGAGCTCTCTGCAAGGAGCCCGGGACAGCTGATGGGGCACTGCCTGTGCTGGCTGGCCAGCCATCTCGCCCACTCCTGGCTCACCTCCATCAGAGAGGAAGGAGCTCAAACTTTCATGTGGAAGGTACACTCTGACCCTGTGACTCCTCTGGCTGCCCCATCCCCCTCTTTCCTTCATAATAAAACTTCAAAGAGTCTTCTACGCTCCGTCTCACCGTCACTCGCTCCTCAGCCCACTGCCAGCGGCTTTGCCTCACCACACACTGAAACCACTCCGCCAGAGGTCTCAGGGATCTCCCCGTCAGGAGTGGTTACACCTCATCCTCACCCTGCTGTCCCCTCCTGCCAGGCGGCATCACCCCTGAAGGCCATCATTGTCCGATGCTGCCCAGGGGATGCTCAGCCTCTGGGTTGGACTGTTCTGCTTACCTCAGTCCCAGTGATGTCACTTCCTAGCTGCATCAGCTCAGCTTCTCTGAGACTCAGTTTCCTCTTCCAGAAAATGGAACTAATAACAGTACCTGCCTCACAGTTCATCATGAGGATTAAATGAGTTCAGACACGAAAAGAACTTAGTTTCCCACGCTTCACAAGTGTCACTCAATAGAAGTCAGCTGTGAGAGCGCTTCCTTTCACCCAGTCCCCTCCATCCTATCAGAACCTACCTAGTCCAGCTTCCTACCACCTCTCTTCCAGAGACTCCAATATCCCCTTGCTGGCCACCCTGCTGCCTTGATCCTTCTCATCCATGCCCCCACAGCAGGTGCACCTGAGCTTCACCACGCCTCCCCTGGTCAAAAACCCTGCAAGTCCTCCAATGCTCCTAGCAGGAAGCCTCAACCTCTTTCGCCTTTAATAAACTGTGTGTGTGTGTGTATACATATATGTATATAAATATATATATATAAATATATACCTATATACATATAAAATATATATTAAATATATATAATTATATACATTAAAATATATAATTATATATCATATACTATGCAGCCATAAAAAAGGATGAGTTCGCGTCCTTTGTAGGGACATGAGATGCAGTTGGAAACCATCATTCTCAGCAAATGATCGCAAGAACAGAAAACCAAACACCGCATGTTCTCACTCATAGGTGGCAACTGAACAATGAGATCACTTGGACACAGGAAGGGGAACATCACACACCGGGTCCTATTGGGTAGAGGGGAGGGATAGCATTAGGAGATATACCTAATGTAAATGACAAGTTAATGGGTGCAGCACACCAACATGGCGCCTGTATACATATGTAACAAACCTGCACATTGTGCACATGTACCCTAGAACTAGTATAATAAAAAATATATATATTAAAATATACAATTATATATAAAATTATATACGTTAAAATATATAATTACATATAATCTATATTAAAATATATAATATATAATTATATAACATATATATTAAATATATAATTATATATAATTATATAGTATATATATTAAATATATAATTATATAAAAATATATTAAAATATATAATTATATAAAATATATAATTTTTATACATAATATATTATATTATATTATATATAAAATATATATATAATTTTTTTGGAGAGATGGTCTCACTCCGACACCCAGGCTGGAGTGCAGTGGCACAATCACAGCTCACTGCAACCTTGACCTCCCAGGCTCAGGTAGTCCTCCCACATCAGCCTCCCAAGTAGCTGGGACCACAGGTGTGCACCACAACACCTGGCTAACTTTTTGTACCTTTTGTAGAGACGAGGTTTTGCCAAGTTGCTCAGGCTGGTATATAATCATTTTTAAAACAAGAGAGAAACACTACAAATGACAAGATTTATACTACTACTACTACTCAGGATTTTGTGGGCATGCATGGTTACAACACAAAGTCTTGCCTTTTAAAGAAACAAAAAAATATACAGGAATGTTTTGTCTCCACAGCTTTAAATTCATTAAGCTTTAAAATTCCCTAGAAAAGCCCACTTACATTAAAAAAAAAATACAGCGTTTCTCTATAAGGAATCACATTATTTGTGCACAAGTCCCCAAAACATTTATATGGTACCTTGGTGTTACTGAATACTTGAGTATGCAAGGAACAAACTCTGGATCCCTGGGGCAATAGGGGACCCTACCGGAGCTAAGGTTGATGAGGTAGTTAGATCAGAGCCCCTCAAATGTCACTGAATCATCGAGGATCTTGTCAAAATGCAATTTTTGATTCAGAAAGTCTGGGCTGGGGCCTGAGGGTTGGCACTGCTAACAAGCTCCCAGGCAGTGCTGACCTGCGAGTCTGGGACCACAGGAAGGGTAGCAAGACTTGAAATCTGTCTCCTCACAAGACTGAGCTGCTAGTGGAGGTTACCACGTCTGTTTTATTCACAGTGCCGACACACAGCAAGTGCTTTGTAGACATCTGTTGAATGAATTGTGCCTACCGAGTACCCAAGCTGGTCCTAAGGCTCCTCTGTGTTGTGTTGAGTTGTGCCTGTGAGACTCCACTCTGGGTCCACAACCTAGGGCTCCTCCTGGTCCACGGCCCAGCCTGGAACTGAGCCAGGAGCTACATAAATTATCCTCACAGCATGGCCTTGAGTCACAGCTTCTTCACCTGCCTCCCCACAGCCACATCCTGGTTCTTGTCTTCACCTGATCTGCTTATGCTCAGAAGCCCAAAGCACCCAAATTCCCCTGCCTCAGCATAACCTCCTATCCTCCATCTCCCCACACTGATCACATCACACCGCACCACGACCCAGACCCTGGCCTTTCCATCCTGCTCTCCTCTCCCTCCCACCCGGGGCCAATCATCTTGAAGAATTCTTCCACACGTCCCCATCACACTCATCCCTTTACCAAAAGTCCCTACCCCATGGGGTGGGTCAGGCAGGCCTCAACACCTGCCCGTATCAGGGGGCGCCTCTTCCCTCAGGGGCTGCCCTCTGGGATCACCACCCCCGTCCTCTTTGGTTTCCTGCTTCCTATCTGGCTGCAGCTTTTCAGGCCCGTTGTGGATTTCCCCATGGTCTGTGCCCTCTCGCATCCCCTCTCTGCAAACCTTGCCTACTGGGCCTGCACCTGGCAAATCCATGCTCAGCACAGACAGGGATCGAGACCTCTCAATACAACTGTCTCCTGCCAATCCCTGCCCCAGCAGCCTGAGGCCCAGCCTGAAACCAGGGAGCTGCTCTCCTTTCTCCTCTCCTCCCTTGACCTCGCCCCTCAGACCATGCCAATTCTACCTCCTAAACCTCCCAGGCCAGCCCCTCCCCCAGCTCCCAGTGACAGTGTCCTCAAGAGCTCCTGTCCTCAGGTACCTAAGCTCAGCTCTCGGTGATACCAGAGGTACTGCCAGGGGCTGCAGCCAGGCCTCCTGCAGGGGCTGAGTCCCACATCGCAGGGAACAGCCATGCCACTGCTAGCAGACAAGTAAGAGAATGGCCACCTGGGGCCTGAGTGCTCTTGGTCACCCACCAGAAACAAAGTGTCAAGGAGAAGCTGCCCGAAGCCCATGGGACAAACCACTGGCGATTGGAACACCAGTAATTCCACATTGGGAGGGGGCACCAAGAGATGTGCTTCTCAGAGCCTGAGGCTGCACATGGATGTTGAGCAGTGCGACTGGCTACCAGACAAACTCATCTGTTCCAGTGGCCTCCTGGCCACCCACCAGGACCAAGCAGGGCGGGTAGCAGAAGGCCACCTGGAGGTGATGGCAGACGAGATCCCGCTGGGCAGGAGGCCTGAGTGAGCTGAGTCAGGCTTCCCCTTCCTGCCACAGGGATCCTCTCACCTGCTGCCATGCTTCCCATCTCTCATCCTCCTTGACAAGATGAGGGGATACCCTTTAAGTAATCTTTTTTCTTGTTTCACTGATCTTGAGTACTAGAAAGTCATGGATGAATAATTACGTCTGTGGTTTTCTATGGAGGTTCCATGTCAGATAAAGATCCTTCCGACGCCTGCACCACACCACCCGCCCCCCGCCTTGCCCGGGGTTGTGGGCACCGTGCTGCTGCACATATAAGGCGGGAGGCTGTTGCCAACTCTTCAGAGCCCCACGAAGGACCAGAACAAGACAGAGTGCCTCCCGCCAATCCAAACATGAGCCTCCTGCCCGTCCTGCTCCTGCTCCATCTCCTGGTCAGCCCCGGACTCCAAGCTCCCATGACCCAGACAACGTCCTTAAAGATAAGCTGGGCTAACTGCTCTAACATGATCGATGAAATTATAACACACTTAAACCAGCCACCTTTGCCTTCGCTGGTGAGTAGCTGGGATAAGACTGGCCTGCAGCAGGGAGGGGTGGTGGCTGCCTCAGGCCAACAGGCCTCATGGGCCTCTCTCTCCCTTCACCCCACAGGACTTCAACAACCTCAATGGGGAAGACCGAGCCATTCTGGTGGTAAGAGCTCAGCCCCTGGATCCCAATCCACTTCCTGCCTGGGTGACTTCAGCCATGTCATTCCATCTTACCTAGCCTTGCTTTCTTCATCTGTAAAATAGGGTTAATAGCGCCTGTCTCAGTGGGATTGTTATGACAATCAAATGACACAATGTGCAAAGCGTTCTGGCCCAGCATCTGGCACTTAAGGGTTCAATACGTGGCCACAGCCATGGCTATAGGAATGAAAATGACTTTTAAATTAGAAAATGAAAAGGCAGTTCTAGGTGAGGAATACTAAGGGCCTTAAGGTCAGTTTTTGGTAGGACAGACTCTGGACTGACAGACAGAAATTTACCCCACAGATGTGCCAGCTTCTTTTTCCCTTTAAAACTTGAGTTTGTGTTTTCCACCCTTATTGGTTGTGGCATTATCATTTACAGTGATTTTTCATGGTTCCAGTTGGTTGCAATGGTTCTGTCTCATGTTTGCATGACATTTCTTGGGTCAAACAAGAAGTGGAAGCCTTTGCTGAGTTCCTGGGCCATCTGTACTTGGGGCACTCACTGCTCACATGCTGCACTCACTTCCATGTTGGGGTCTCTGTGATTTTCTTCTTGATTTCTAGGAGACTTTAATTCAGTCAGGGCATGAACACTGTTATCAGCCTTTGAGCTACAAACACTTCCCTTGGAAGACCCCCTGCCTTTTGTAGAGTTTCTTTTTGGAGATATTTTCTCCCCCAAGTGCAGAAAGATCCACCTAGGTCCCCCCTCCCCACCTTTTTTTTTTTGAGACAGAGTCTCACTCTGTTGCCCAGGCTGGAGTGCAGTGGCATGATCTTGGCTCACTGCTACCTCTGCCTCCCAAGTTCAAGCCATTCTCCTGCCTCAGCCTCCCAAGTAGCTGGGACTACAGGCATGCACCACCACTCCCATTTTTGTATTTTTAGTAGAGTTGGGCTTTCACCATATTGGTCAGGCTGGTCTTAAACTTGACCTCAGGTTATCTGCCTGCCTCGGCTTCCCAAAATGCTGGGATTACAGGCTTGAGTCACTGCACCCAGCCCACCTAGGCCCTTCAGGCAGCTCACATGGAGCCAGAGACTGGGGGTTGAGGAAACCAGGTCCTGCCTGCCACTCACTTTTAGGCCTGTGCTCTTGGGCAGGGACCCACCTGAGGCAAGAATGGGACTAGGAGAGAACCCGAGAGTGGGCTTGGGAAACCGTGGGGGTGACTTCCAGCTGCTTGTGGGAGGGATACTCCGTAACCTTTCCCCTGTAAGTGTATTCTCTGCCCTGTTAGGAAAAAAACCTTCGAAGGTCAAACCTGGAGGCATTCAGTAAGGCTGTCAAGAGTTTACAGAATGCATCAGCAATCGAGAGCATTCTTAAGGTATGTGAAGCTGTTGAGGGTTTGGGATCCCTGTGTTGGCCCTGCCCTGCCTCTGGGGAGGATGACAGCAGGGCCCACTCCCTTTCCAAGGGAATCTCTGACCATCTGCTTTGATCTCTTTCCACAGAATCTCCCACCATGCCTGCCCATGGCCACGGCCGCACCCACGGTAAGCTGTCCCCCAAGATGCCCCTGTCGTGGCTTGCTCCTCAGTTGGTCATCACCATTATAGCCTGGACTCACCTAATCCCACCTTCTTGGTTTCTTTATAGCGACCTCCAATCCGTATCACGAACGGTGACCGGAATGACTTCCGGAGGAAACTGAAGTTCTATCTGAAAACCCTTGAGAATGAGCAGGCTCAATAGACGACTCTGAGCCTCGAGATCTCGTGAGTCCAACGTCCAGCTCGTTCTCTGGGTCTTCTCACCACAGAACTTCAGGACATTGAAAACAGCAGAACTTCTGAAACCTCTGGGTCATCTCTCACACAGTCCGGGACCAGAAGCATTTCACCTTTTCCTGTGGCATCAGACGAATTGTTAATTATCTAATTTCTGAAATGTGCAGCTCCCATTTGGCCTTGTGCAGTTGTGTTCTCATTTTTATCCCATTGAGACTATTTATTTATGTATTTATTTATTTATTGCTTTCTGGAGTGTGAAGTGTATTTATTTCAGCAGAGGAGCCATGTCCTGCTGCTTCTGCAAAAAACTCAGAGTAGGGTGGGAAGCATGTTCATTTGTACCTCGAGTTTTAAACTAGTTCCTAGGGATGTGTGAGAATAAATCAGACTCTGAACAACTGCTTTGTTACCAGTGTTTCAATTTGATTCGGGACTTAGTGACCATTTTAGAGGAGATAGGTGTGCCACGAATCCTGGGTGGCTTGATCCTGCCACGTGGATGCTGTCTGTGTGAGCTTGTTCTCACACTGCCCTCCTGCCACCCCCATTTCCAGAAAGGTGATGATAACCCTAGCCATCTTGAATATCCACAGAACTGCTACCAGGTACCAGGAGCCATTCTCAGCACTTTACCTGTGCTACCTAACTTATTCCTCACACCAACCAAGAGTATGTTTTCTCCGTTTCACGGGAAACTGAAGTTCAGCGTGGTTGAGCAACTGCCTAAGGTCACACAGCTGATAGTGGCCCAGCTGGGGCTTGAATTCAGGTCGCCGGGGCTCTGGAGCACACTAATCCTGTGGCACGTCTCCCCCTAGTGGTCCTTCCAGAAACTGCAGCAGCCGCCCCTGCTCCTCCCAGGGCCAAGTTCAAGGACAAACATCCCCTGATCCCCACAATGCAGCAGGTTCTGCTGACACAGGCCACCCAACCCTTGATTCCACTCCTTTAAGACCTTCCAAGCCTGGAGTCCCCACCCCTGCCTAAGCCCCCAACCTCTCCTGCCTGATGATTTAGCAGCCCCCCTGCAGGCTTCCCGGCCAGCCCTGGAACCCACACCCTGACAATCTGTGCCCTACTGGGGAGCCAGACGGAGTTTTAGAAAATGCAAATCTGACCATGTGGATCTATACTGAATCCTCCAGTCCTCGGGGTCTTCTGGACCTTGTCCATATCCTTAGGACAACATATAAGGCTCGCCTCCAACTGTTGCTTCTATTTCTCCATGGCTACAACCCTAATCAATGCTCCAGCCAACAGGAGTGCTGGGACTTCCTACAGAGGCTTCCATGAAGCCTCTCTTCATGCCCCTGAGCTTCTATCCACACTGTCACCTCAGTATGGCATGCCCTGACTTGGCATGATGAGCTCCTATTCCATGGACCAACTCAAACTCTGCCCACCTCTGGACTGTCCACACTGTCCCAGGATGGGGCCCTCCTCTGAAATAGGTGGGTACACAGGGACCCACTGGAGGGACAGCCAGTGTGGCCCAGAGGTGGTGCAGGCCAGCCTGGAGGCAGGAGTGCCCCCCTCTAATGCCCCTGCACACCACCCTGTGGCCCTCGTCCAGTCTGCCGGTGGAAGGAGGGGCAGAGGGGTCTTCCTCTGTCACCACATAAGCAGCAATAGCATCCTCTCTGATTCCTCCCAAGTCCCAGAAAAGCTTCAGAGGCTGACACCAGGTGCTGGGGTCCTGTCTCCCTTTTTCCTCTTTTCCACCTTGATCCATCCCGGGATGTTTGTCGTTGGACTTAGCCTGGGAGGAGATATAGAGGATGCTGCTGCAGTTTCTGAATTGACCAGTAGGGAGAGGTGTGTGCCACTGGTCTCAGGGCACACCAGGGTCCTGGAGCAGCCAGGCCTTAGAGGGTGCGGTGAGAGGTCTGACTCTGGACTGGGTTTCCCAAGTCTCCTGTACACCCAGCCCCCCAGCCCTCACTTTCCCTCCCTCTCGCATGTGACAGCTGGTCCTGTTTTCATCCTGGGCTGAGGCAGCATTTGTGCCCCAGTCTCATGTTCCCAGATGAGTCGCTGCTTGTCACCTCCTCTTCACACCCTGGAGAGTGGGTCAGCAGCCATCTCCTCTGCTGGTCCTGTGTTAGTGACTGATGCAGGCAAGAGGCAGGGTTAGTGGTTGGACCTGGTGCAAGAGGCCAGTTGGCAGGACCTGTGGCTGGCCAGAGGGTGGCAGGTGGAGGTGACATGCTGGAGAGGGCAGCAGGTGGGCCTTTTCAGATGTGCTGAGGGCTCCTTGCTGCCCTTCTGAAATAGTATAGACTGCAGCTTAAAGCCAGGTTGGGACCAGAACCAAGTGGCAGTCAGTTCCTGGACAGGTTGGGGAAATTTCTACACGCTTTAGACAAAAGGTTTATGTTCCCTCCAAATTCATATGTTAAAAGTGAATCCCCATGGTGATGGTATTAGGATGTGGGGCCTGTCCTTTGAGCCAGGTCTATGTGTCCAGATGGCACCAGGGGGCAGCATCGCCCCATTATAAATCCCAGAACCGCCAGGGAAGGCCCAAGTTTCTGCCTTCCCACATCCCAGGTGTCTCCTCAGGGGGAAGGTGGATTACAGCTCTCAGCCAGGAATTTTGTTTTTCACTGAAAAATACTATTGTGGGAGTGAGACTCAGTCTCAAAAAAAAAACATTATTGTTTTTCACTGGAGGGGAAGATGGGAAAGCATATATACTCTTTACTGAAAAACTTGGAAATGCAGAGAAAAAGAACAAAGGGAAAATTGACAGAAAGGCAAGTGCCTAAGGAGGGCATAACTCAGAAGGCACAACCAGCCTCACCCCCTGACAGGAATCCTTCCACTCCAGGAAGGGGCTCTGTTCCTTCTGCCCTGGCCTCAAGCCCCCATTTGAGTCAGTGGAGCAACTGCTCTGAGGACTCTCCATAGCTCCCCCAGGCTGGGGCGGGCATAGGTGAGGCACTGGGCCAGGCCTTTTGGGCCTCCCGGCCATGTGCAGTTGGCCCCGCACAGTGCGGTGGGGATCATTACAGACAGCACAGGACCGACGGATGGGCGTGGACCTCCTCAGAGGCACTGCCCACAGGTGGTGCAGAAGGGGCCTGAGAAGTTCATCCAGCAGAGAAGGGTGGGAAAGGCACAGGGAGGGAAGGAGGCAGATGCCCTGGGGGAGGAGGGCATGGAGGTCAAGAAGACAAGGTAAGCGGAGGCACAGGAGAGTCTAAGTAGTGCAGAGGCCAGAGTGTGGCTGGGTGCCAGGTGTCCAAGGTGAAGGCGGTGCCCTGGGTCACTGCTTTTGCCCCTGGAGCCCAGCCAGTCTGGGCCCCAGGCACTTCTGAGTCTTAGCTAGTCTCTTCTCCGCATTCTTCCCTCCCTGATCCCAGGCCAGCCCAGCCCAGCCCAGCCCAGCCTGGCCACTGTGGAGACCGCAAGACTGGACGACCATGGCCTGAGGAGTGGAGGGTGGAGGGAGGCGGAAGGACAGGATGGAGCCATGGCAGACACTGTGTTTAACACCAACAGGAAGGAGCCAGCGCAGAGGGAGAGTGGTGCTGGAGGAAACAGGAGCTAGCCCAGCAGAGGGGGATCCCTGGGCCCAGGAAGATGTGGGACCCATGGTGGGAGAGAGGGAGAGGAGGCAGAGGTGGTGTGGATCAGGGGTGGGGACTAGGGGCCCAACTTTCCCCCTCGGAAGCCTCAGGTCAGGCTCAATGAGGTGGATCAGCAAAGTTGCTGCTGCCCTCCTGGACTGAGAAGGGACTCGAAGAATTCCCACAATGACCCAGGCACTCAGGCTGTGATTAGCCCCATTACACAGACAGAGACTGAGGCAGAAAAATGAAGATTATTTGAGTCCAGAGCTTCTGAATCCTTAAGCAATAGTGGTTCACCAGTGCCCACTGAGGCCCAGGAATTCTTTAAGTCTGACTCTGGTCATGCCTGGGGTCTCCCCTTGACTGGATCCAAGCCTCCCATGGTAACTTCTGCCCTACAACCTCCCGGTTCCAGCCCCACAGTGAGCAGCGCAGCATCAGTGCCTCAGCTCCACACTTCTCACCTGACCACTCTCATGCTGCCCAGTAAATGCCTCTACATGCCCATCTGTCCTGTCTTCCTACCCGGCACCCCCTCCCCACAACCAACACACATGCTGGGGGCTTAGATCCAGGGTCCTCTGTGCTCCTCTCTGTCTCTGTCCCCATGCCTTAAGGGACTTCTGAGAGAGACCCTGGTTCCCAGCTGTCCCCTGCCATGGCTGATTGTCAAGGCCTCTTCCAGCTCCCACTCAGGCCCCCCAAAGACCCCAAGCTTAACTCCACCTTCAGCCGTGGTTCATGATGTGACCCCTTCCCTTTCCCCTCCATGAGCCCTCCCTGCCCTGCGGGGTCCATGGAATCCTTCTGGGGTGAGGCCTCCTTGCCTCCTCCTCAGACTCACAAGCCCTTGACCCAGGCTGCTCCCGGGACCTGCTTCGGCAGAGACTTGCCTGGAGCCTGCACTTGGAGACTCAGCCCTTTCCTGGAGGGAAAGTGGGCTGTGCTGGAGACCGGCAGGCAGCAAGGACAGCAGGCTGTGGGGGTGGTGTGTGTGCCCCGAGAGGGGCCAAGTCAGGGTGTCAGGGAGGGAAGACAGCTGCAGCGAGGCAACAGAGGGCAGCGGGCGCTGGAGCGAAGGCTGAGCAGCAAAGCAGGGGTCTCCTTCCCTGCCTCCCTTCATGAGCACCGGCTGCGCATCTGCTCTATGTCCTGATCCCATGGGCCGGGCCAAGGCTCTCCTGAGCATGAGGAATAAAAACACTGGGCAGCCGCCGCTACCATTCAGAGAGCCTTGAACCAGGGAGGACTCCCCCACACAGTGGGTCTCTGGTCTACACAGGCCCAGGTCCCATGAGGGAAGCCTAAATTGACACTCACCTCCAGGGCATGACAAGGCCGGGAGGCTGGTCCGGACCCTGGAAACCACTCCCCTCTCTTTGATGGA